GCACATTGCTCGTTAGAACCAGCGACTCGGCATCCGAATGTGACTTCTGCTGTGGCCGGGTTAACTATTGTTTTGATGCTGCCCTACTAAGGTTGTACTACGGGACTATACTATGTTACGCTTGTTTGTCGTTCTTGTGCGCTTGCTCTGAATGAATAGACAATACACCAGATGAAATAACAAAGTTGTAGCATCGATGAAATAATCCTCCTCCTGAGTCCGAAATAATGAACAACAAACAACCGAGAACCAACCAACGTGGTGATTCATTAAGTGCCTGAATTAGAATGTGGTGGTCGCGATGGAGATCACGAACACGGTATGCAATTGTAAAGTAGACGTCTAGGACTTCATGAAAATTAATACGTCCAGGCTACTTAGTCGGTCACATTTTTCAATCAGTGAGTCTCTTTAATTTATGAATGTGAACCTATGAAACCGTGAGGAATTAACTGAGACCATTTAGGCGTGACACATATCGATGAACCACCACTATGGTCATATCGCGAAGCCTCAACCATGCACATCGTGATGCCAGTTGACCTTGGCCAGCAACCCACAGCACAGAACATAGGGACCACGGTCTCCTTAACAGGACACGTCATACGTGCCAAAAACCAACACCGTCCGCATCCCACGGAACTGATCAGCCCACTTTAAACGACACGTTGCATTAGAGCCAGAAGACTAATGATGCTATCAAGCAGCACCGAGTTGTGCGATAAATCATCCAGGGCTTCTGTAGCAACGCAAGAGGAATATAGGCTGTCATCAGAAACATGTGCTTTGATTTGTATATTAGGATCATAGCCCTAACCGGAACATGCCTGCCTACAGTCATTATGGATAAGAAGATATGTTTTCATGGCATTACGAACTGTATGAACAGTCACTTCGAAGTTGCAACAACACATGGTAACAAATCACCCGAGTTGAAGAAATCACGCTTGTGTTGTGCAGTTATGGACGTCATAACGTTCTTGATTGGACGAAAATTCCGACACACCGCATGTAACGGAAAGAGAACAGCGAAAATCCCTCTGCAGCTTCTTTGTCGAACAGTATTTTCATTTATTTGTTCCTTCTCCCTTTTCTGCATTCCAACCTTTGTTCCGATCTCGTTTAACCATGTCTTTTGTTCTTCAGTCTTCCCCGTTTGAGCCTTTATTATAAGATTTTGATTAAAGACTTATTTTTTATTACGTAATTTCCCATTGCATTTTGCCGGACCATTGAGAGTATGGTCGTGTTTGACTAAGCTCAAGGTCACGGCATGGTTCAGTTTGTGACTGTTAACCTTCTGACCGTCTGCTTGGTAGAATCGCTGCAATCCCGGCAGATAGATATTCGATCCCATCTAATTGGGATTATTTGTATTGATTCTCAGTTATCAAACCCTTCAGTATTAGCTGTCTCTTTTATTGTTTAGCGCGCTACTTTGCGTTAGTGAAACTTCTGACTGTATAGCACAGGCTGTACCGTTTGAGGTATTTTGTATTTTTGATGTAATTTGTTATGTTTTCTTAATTAGAACCGTTTATATTGAGCACAGAGTTTGTGTTTTGATATAATATAATACGAGTATCTCAAAGACGCACTGTGAGCTATACAGAGGAAATCGGTCTGTTCTAATCGAATAAATTTATAGTTCGTCAGTCCGTTGTTCCAACCGAATATTGGCTATTCGGTCGCTGCACCGCATGTGTTGAACCCGAAAAGGGAAGGTAATATAGTCAACACTAGAGGCCACTGTTTGACCAAGTTCTTGAGATTGGGAACTTCAGTACATAATTCCTAATACTCGGCAAGCAGGATACAACCCTAACCAGGTAGTTTCACGGAAAGTATGCGACAACCAGAATGTTCAAGGCCGACTGAATATATGAGTGGCTTCACGAAAATAGAGTGGAATGTAGAACTTTCCAATTTAGTCTATTTGCTAGCAAATGGTCAGTTACTGGTAGAAAGTATCTACACCCGTACACAAACAAGAAGTAACCACTGTGATGCAGTCATATTTTATGTGGACACAGAGGTGATACTTCGGATTGATGTGGACGCCTCATATCATAGCTGCATAAGAGCATAGAGAGCATCTTCAACACAGTCCATGGCCGCTAGACAGGTGGCGGCTGACAGTGTGTTTTGTGATATTGGGCACCCCTCGTTCTGTCAATAGAAGAAACAAAATTACCAGTGAATAGGTATTTATTAAGATCGTGGGACAAAACAGTTATGGAAACAATTTATCTTTCTAAACACATAAACTTATTCAACATTCAATGTAGAAAAGTAGGGAATACAACACCTACACAAAATAGGGAAGTGAGTGAACACTTAAGCTAAAATGTTTTGACATTACCAAGATGTTTACGACCAGCTCTTAACTAATCAATTCAAGTTTTTACATGAGATTCTTTCTGGAGTTGACTCCCATAGGAGTGTTGGTTCGATCAGTTCACTAAAAAGGAACATGTCAGTTCGGATTCTGCAGCCCAAAAAAGAATTAATAACTCACGCAATGCGTGATTCTTATTCGGTGATGACTAACACATAGAGCGTATTCGGAGATACTCCATCACTGTCACATACTTAACTAGCTTGTCAACTTATATCGTAGCACATAACTTCTTTCACGCATTACCGCTCATGACATGCCGAACGCGTCCTTTATTTGAGAATCAGAGCTTTTAAGAGAATGAAACTGGAATATCTGAGGTAACACCAAAAGCGATCTATAATAAATTAGCAGTCTCTGTAGGCTAAATTTTCCCAATCTTCAAAGAAGGAAATAGAAGCGGCGCATAACGCGGCCGAAATGTCACATTACTTTCAGTAATATTGGTTATAGTATAAGTGCTGGTTAATGAACGACTGAATGTAAACATGGATATAAACAGCATTCTACATGAAGTCTAACTCCACTTTATTTCACACTATTAACTAATTAAGATATTTTCTACTCTCGTAATAATCGTCTTTTATCCGCATTCGATTTTTCATTTAATTATCTTTATATTGTGACCAACCTATTTCCAAACTGACAATGCGGTAGCTTCTAAAATCCAGAAACCCTATTATATTGAGTTAAACGCACTTAATCAAATTACAAGATATACAAATCTAAAATAACCACCAAACTGACTGGAATAAGCGCAATCTCTTAAATGGAATGTTAGTCATAGGGTATAACGAAATACCAGGGTCGTGCTGAATTAACAAGAAGTGAACGCGACAAATTCAATTCAAATAAACAGGTGTGCTACAGGAATGTTTCATATTGTATTTAATATCCAAAAATTTCCGTTATTTTGAGAGTTTGTATTTAATTTAAATAGGAAGCAGGATATAAGCGAGCCAATATTCACGTTATGAACTGATTTTCCCATACGTGGAATATCTGTGATTAAAACTCAATGACAGATACATATTATCTGAGTAATAGCATGTAACTGTTAGCTATCTGATAAGAGTTATACAAATTGTATTATCGAATAGAAATCTCAGTCTAAAACTTACGATAAACGGTCAGTCGTAAGAAAATCACAGTCTACAAGTGTACATCGATGAGACCACAAAAAATTCGCTTATATTTACATTCTGAAGCACGAAATTGGTAAGTAAGATCAAACAAATAATCTGGTTCATTCTAATTCGCGATTGAGACATTGTTCATTGGATTAGAGTTTAAAATGTTGAAGGTCGATTGATAGTATTTGAACTAAATTAAACCTCAGGGTCATGCAGTTAACACTAGTTCTTGCTTGGGGTATGTTGTCTAAGAAAAGTGGTGTTATGTTCTACTGTAGGTCTTTCCGAAGTGCTAAAAAGTCATCAGTATGTGTATGTGCCGTTGCATAAGGAAGTTTGTATGCCTCCTGTGCTTACTAATCAGTTGCAATTTAAATTTAATTTGTCGAAATGGAAAATCAAACTTTGCGACTGCGAATCTCCTTCACATTGTCCCTCAACGATCAGTAAGCGTTCACGTTTCCTAAACGTTTTATTTTGTTAGGTTGTTAGTGATATTAAATCTCATGCTTTATATCTGACAATCCACTTGAATTCCAACGCATCGTGAGAATGTTTGGGATCCGTTGGAAAAATCGAGGTATTTTATATAATTTTGAATCTTTTAATTTCATGCAAAGATTGTGTGCAGGCGATTGTGTTTCTATATGTAGACAGAAATTATTCGCTATGGTTTTCAACTATGTCCTGTTACCGATTCCTGCTTGATTTGAGACATGAGCACATCATGCAAAAATGCGGCTGACAGGAAAAGGGTGGAGTTAAAATATCGTATAATATGGTAAACGTGTAACGTAGTGGTCAGTTAACAACTAAGGCATATGTATTATAAAATGAAATGAAGGGAATTGTGATGATCACATGCCTGATTCATCCCCGCCTTGGATACTCTGTGTGATGTAAGTGATGTTGATAGCGTAAGTCATCAAAGAACGTACTTTCGCCGTTTTGCAGTTTACGTGACCTGGAATCGATCACAAATGCATTGGAAACTTGTGTTATCTCGCTGACGTAAATAATATGAAACGAAACAAAGTAAAATCTGCATAAAGTAAATGGAGATTGAATGTTAACCTTGTTAGTGTCTCTGTTTGATACCGCACTGTCATTATATTACTTATATTGCACCAAACGCGTTTCCTTTCGAGACCTAAATTATCATCGTTGAATGTAATGATGTAACGTAATAAACTTGTTCGTTCGTTTGAACATGATTTGAAGATCATAGAGTTAGGCTGTAAAGGATGGTAATTGAGAATAACCGACTTTGTTGTGCTAGGCTTATTCTAAACCTGTCGGAAAAATTCATAAAGATATTTGTACACAATAATCGTTTGGACGCTTAAATTCTACTGTACATATTTCAAGCTTCGTGGTCAATTTTGATTCAATAAAGTGCTTAATCAACATGCTGTGTATGCTTTATTCATTCATTGTAGAAATATATAAGTCAGATTTGTCCGCGTAACATGTGTGAAAAATATAATGAGATTCTATACGGTGTTGGTTTCGGAATCGACTATTTCAGAAAGATCAGTCCTCGTTTCCGTTTCAGGGGCATCAAAAACTATGAATATCGTGAAAGATCTGGAAAGTATGGTGAACTACCTAAAACTGGTAAGTTGAATTATACTTATTTGCAAGTCTTCAGGATTTATTGTCACAATTTAAGTGATTAAAATATTCTTTAATTTAATCGTGTAGGGTTTTGTAAGTAATTTACATGGCTTTCGGATAATTTTAACTTTCACCGCGGAACAACTTTTATTAATATTGTAGGTGGTGATATATTTGTTCATGCAAAATGTAATGATCATGGCATGTTGTTTGATCTGGCAAAATCCATCATTCAAAATATGCCGCGTGGATGTGTGGATAAATTTGAAGATATTTACGGTTGGGTATATCGGGATAGGCGTGATTTGAGTGAATTCGTTGATGGTACGTAATTAAGTAAATTGTAGTTTCATGTTAGTGGTTAAATTGTGTATGTGAAGATGTTTGACCTGAAGCTGAGTACAGATTCCGTTGCCTGTATAGGTAATGTAGTTATTTATGTTCATCAAAAGGTTGTTATAAATTGCAAAGTGTTTAACAATGTAGTTTACTTTTCAGGTCATTAAGAGCACTCAAGTATTACTTCTCTCTTGAATTTGTGTTCTGTTCGAAACCTTCTCAGTCAGATAGCCATAAATCTACCAAACCTTCTTAATGGTTTTCAGTATCTTCCTCATAAATGAAAAAATTTGAACGGTTCTCTTCATTAGAAGTAAATTGACTGAATGTCATACCTATGGTGTTGATGAATCTTCTTATGAGAATCGCTTTGAGAATCAATCTAAATGATCTTATTTGTAATGAGCTTATGTATTTCTTTGAGTTGAGCGTGATTGAAAAAAATTGCCTACTCAATTCAAATTAGTTGATTGGTGTGAAATCAATGCATATTCTGCGAAAGTGAGTAATATATATACTAAGTTTTTATCAAGGATTTCATTATTTTCATGATGTGCTGCTAAAAATATTCATTGGCATAATCGATAAAGAACAAGTTTCAGTTTGTATGAATATTGAGTGTGATTATTAATGATTGGTAATAGGTTTATGTAAATTGTTATCAAGTTGGTGGAATGTTTGCTAGCTAGCTTTCATCTATTCACATGTTGAGAGCTATTGGACCACGACGACCATTTGTGTGATCATGATACATTACTAGTGATGAAAATTTTTAGCTCAACGTTTCGCATAATACGTATGATGAAAACTAGTTTTGATACAACATAATCTTAACATTTATAATATGTTTTCTATTTTGTAATGAGGCAAGGAGAATCCTAAGTGTTTGGATGAACGAGCAGAGGTGGCGATCAACAAACGAACAGGTGGAAGTTACGCCATTGTTCAGAAGTGGGTTCATAATATGAGTTTGCTCCAGGAAACAGGTGGTAAGAGATATTCTTTTGAATGAATAGTAATCATCTATGGTTGATCAATTGGAATTGCTGTTTTGAGTTTACGTTTAATGTGCCATCCTGTCTACGTTTGTTTTTCTTTATGTCTGATCGGCTTAGATTAACTATTGTCATTCTATATCCAGTTAATTGTGTTGATTGATAATTCAGTTTAGGTGTCCACAGAAAGCATTAGTTGCCTCTAGATTCTATATACATTTTAACGAAGAAGTCAACTGAGACCAGTATTCGTGAATAATCATTGGTAGCTTTGTGATGTAAATACTGTGAATAAAATTATTGTCACTCGATAGATAACTTCTTTATTTAATTGGTCATGAAATCTGTGTTTAGTGATCTGGAGTAGTGATGAAATGTGTAGTTCTAAACAAACGCTTCCTCTCTTAAGCAACTATTGCAAATAATGTTTACTGTTCATTCATATGTAGTTATTGCATTCTATGTATGGTTCATTAACGCCGGTTGGTTATCTAATTAAGCAGTCATATGTGTATACACAGCTATACCAAATGTACGAATAGATCAGTGACTATTGCGTAACGATGTGTTCTGGTTGCTGATTCCAATTTTAGTTGGTTTACATGACAAGGATAATCTCATCCGTGTAGTTGGCCGTGTAACTCTTATTTGTGCCTGTAATGCAACATGACTATTCAGTCCGTTCGCTGATATCTGAAAAAGTCAGTGTACAACACAACACTCAAATGCGATAATTAATGATATGTTTTGTAAATTTCGATGTTTTCAACCTCCATGTCCATCTTTTAAATTTGTGATTGTATTCTAGATAAACGTGACTTCTCATAATTAAGGCGCTAAAACAATGCCAAACTGTGATTCATTAACACTTGTAAATCGGCAGAACAGTGAATTTTTAACGTTTTATGGATGTACGAAGTAGAATCATTCGAGTGTATTCACTCTTCAAGTAATATTCAAGGAAGCATGATCATGACAATTGTCTTGAGAGTCTATTGTCACATATTTTGTTTTGTAGATGAGACAAAAGAAAAATGGATTGGTCGAACTCTGAAAGACAGCTTGGAGTTGATAAGAAAACCGAATACATCACATGTTGCCAGAATGGTTGGATGTAAGCGATAACTGTATCATGTTTATATTACGTTTCTATGTGAATATTCTTTAGAGTATTTCATTACTTCATAAAACATTTTACAGAATTTCTTTAGATGTTCAGTGAAGATGTACCTATAGTTAAGGTTCAGATTGCCATTGAGAGATGTCTCATCTACATATGAAGTTCATTAGAAATTCTTATACACTACTCGGCCAGGGAGCGAGTGGATTGAAGGTCATTTAACTCTTGGCTTTGGCCAGTGCTTTTTATTCAGCCGTCCATATCTCTGAAACCAAATTAATAATTCGTTGAGATATCCCACATGTATGGTAATTTCAGCAATGTACCATTGTTGAATAAAGTATGTAGAAATCTGTTTGCTTTACATCAATCTGTATTACTTAACACTGAATTCCTACTAATCTGTCCCAATGGTAGATTAGTTAGCATTCAATTCCACATTTGAATGTGACATATGTTGAGGATATTCACGGGTTTATGAGTGGTTTCCTCATTGACCCTATTTCTGAGAGACCTTGGTTCCATGGATTTGAATTTGTATTTTTATATTGAAGAAATTGTATTTGATTATTTGGCACTCACATCTTGTGTGTTGAATAGAGTAAAATCTGTTTTGACGTTTCATTACAATTGTCAATAACTGTTGTTTTCATCTCATACTGACAGCTGACGAGTTTAAAGCTAAGAAGAAACATAAAATTGTTCGGCAAGCTCAACCATTTGGAACTTTATCTGGAGGTGCTGGTCTCTTATTCATAGCATACGCAGCAGATACAAAGAATTTCGATTTCATGTTGGATCGAATGACTGGTGATAGTGATGACAAGATAAATGATAATTTAATGATTTTCAGCCGATGTGTTACAGGAAACTATTGGTACTTTCCTGGTCTGCTTGAATTTAACCTTCTAGTCCGTAATCTACCAATAAGAATATTGTTGTAACCAAGTGGAATGTTGATTCAGCTATGTACATTATTTATCTTTTCAGTTCATTTCAAATATTTTGCACCAAATGTAGTTTTACTATTTAGTTTTTTTATTTTATTTGAACACATAAATATTGGTACAAGAGGGCGCCAAATACATATGCGCCACACCATCATATTTGTGTGTGGGCTGTGATACTGCCCGGGCGCCTAGACCGAAGCAGGTGGTTTTCTTAGGGGGCCACACCCCGGGCCTTTGACCTAATGGTCTGACCCACAAGGCAGTGGAACATCGTAAGGAGATGCAGTCCCATATAGCCGGTGGCCAACAATTGGTTCATACGCCATGTGTTCCCGCAGGATGCTGGAGCCTATGTGCACCATTGGTTTGGGATCCGGTCAAAGCGCCGGACATTCGCTTTTCGTCCTCTCATTTTCGTAAAAAACACCCTTGGTACGAGAACGCAGTGAGTAGGACTTCCCTGCTAGAAGCTGTATACACGTGGTCGTGTGAGAGCATTTCGAGAGGGAGGGCGGGCCCACCCCACTTTCGGCCATACTAGGGCCACGTAGATAAGAGGAGGTGAAGCTGAACATTTTAGGATCATATTTCATTTGGTTGGATCTACATCAGTTGTGAAAGATGATAAAATGTTTTCAAACACTTTTATGCTTGACGCATGAATTACTGTGTAATCGATTGACGTTTGGTGTAGGAAGATTTACCAACCACTGTGGTTGTTGCGGTTGAACGTTACCTGTTTTTTTAACAAGAATCTTTATCAACTGTAATAAGAGACGAAACTGAGTTAACTATGATTTGAGGGATAGAGCTACGACTGAATGTCTGTATTTATGCCTAAGGTAGGAGGCTTTGCAAAGATTATGGTTGATAAACTGTGTTTCGGACGTGTGTGACATCCTCTAGTTTGGTGTTGTCGATCGACAATTAAGCATTATACGATTGTGGAAGTAAAAATTTCAGAGATATTTGTTGGTCGGGTTTCATTTACAGAAACTTATGTACTTAGCGATTCTCGTCTAACCAGGAGGTAATTTGGTGTTATAGAGAAGCGCGTAGAATATTGTGAGTGGGGAGGGCTAGAAAAGAGGAGAACAAAAAATGTGAGCCGATAACATAGCAAGTCCACACAATGAAATTACATTTACTAAGGAAAGCAATATACATTAGCTAGCAGTAACACAAGCCTCAGATCAGGATAATCCTGGAATAGGAACTAGAAGATATTTCAAAGGCTTACAGTTTCCTATAATATTTATTTCTTATATCCCTCATAAAAAACATTATGTGGTATTTGACATAACAGGATGAAGATGTCAAAATTACATACGCTTACTAATCATGATTTTTGTTCAACATAAATTCCGTTTTCATTCAATGTAGTGATTACGCAGTATGTGCCCCTACTGTAAACACATATTCGTATAAACATAATTTTTACAAGATAACCCGACGTCTGTGGAATTATTCACTATTACGACATTCGTGTATGAGAATCAGTAAATGTCCCCTTATGCTTCTATGCACATAAATAACTCGTAGATAGTGTAGGTAAAATACAGTCAATTTGTTTGATCAAAGTTGATGAATTCTTTGTATTATTAAAATGTTTGGGACATCCAACAGTAATCTTTTGCTGGTTTCGGAACGGCAGTTAAATGTTCATACAAGATTATGACTTGAAATACGTAGAGCTACTAACGTGCGACATTACTTCGCTCCTAAGTGATGAACGGGAGATATCCGCCTGCAAACTAAGGGAAATGTATAGTGCATAGCAGTTCACTGTGATCTACTTTGTGGTTAAGAAATGTCGCTCTTAAAAATAGGGATATTCATAGGTTGCTAGTAATGGGTGATAAATAATTCCGAACAATTGGTCGTATATGTTTGGATCATGGAGAGGGCTATTCCATCGTGAGTATGGCAAGTGAATTGACAGGATCGTGAAAATTTATCGACTAAGATTATGGAAACGTTCTACGCAGACTCACGCATCGAATGCCTGGACAAACGATGGTGTGTGATGTAGATGTAGGTTGAATGGAAACCATTTGTGACCAAATCAGGCCATACAATTACTGGCTATGAACTGAATCATATGTGAGGCTGTTGACCCGCCCGTTGGGATCTGCTTGATTATCGTAACCAATCGTTAGAGGCGTTTATGACATAACTCAGGTTCATTAATAATGGCACAAATTCACCCAGATTTTGTCTTCTTTAGATCTAATGCTTTCAAGCTATTTGATGACGTTTTCATCCTACCATCGCCTATTTTCCTCTCAGATTTTGATGGTTAATATTTCCTTTTATCACTTACAATGTTACCACTTATGCAACTCTTGAACTTACACTGACAATTTGATGTTGTTGGGGTATGGCAACGTGTTAAATTTAAGTAGTACGTTTCTTTTTAATTCGTTGACCTATTCAATCAGCATCATTCAATTAACAACATTCTATTCATGACTAAATTGACTTTTGGAACATGTCTTCGATGTTTGAATTGAAATGTGCTAATCAAGAATAGTATTAACTTGTCACATGACTAGTAATATATGTCACTCAATAGTCTAAAAGTTCAACGTTTCTATCTATGTCTCAACTAATAGCCACTACCAACGACCAAATGTATCACAATCATTAAATCATCAAATTCCACTGATTCCGATTTAATACAATGTGATGATTATGCAGTGTAGTTTTTGTTACTGTTTCCCAGTGTGACATTTTATTTTGTGTAACAAACAATATTCTTGCATTCAACTGACCTGACCTGAAATCAGCATGACATGTAGCATATGATTCACTATAAGCTTAAGTATGCTTGATATATATGATTTTATATAAAGTACCACGAGTAATGGGTGTTTCATTCAGCATATAAATGAATATATTTTCGACAATGGTCGTTGTCGTAGTGCTTTTAGGCTAATAACTCTTCTTTCGTATCATTCTTTGTGTTTTTACTCTCACATGTTGGAAATTAGTAGTGGTTCCTCGTTTTTTTTACAAATAAAAGTATTAAGTGATTAAGGCATCAGAAATAGCGACGACCAGTCACAACACTAACCCTGTAGTATCTGACATATTGAAAAAAAATTGAGGGTATATCTCAAGCATATGTCGAGAAATAGTTACTCAACCTATAAAGTAATAATCACTTTCAGGTGGCTTGGTATGATATCCGAATCCCAGTGAATACTACAGTGATATTTGTAAGTAACCTAAAAGTCACCAAAAGTTTAAGAAGAAATAATGGTTTTTAGCGGCATCTACAGAACTGATAAACGCTTGAAAATTCAGCACGTATGGCTCTGAGCATGATAAGAGGTGAAAAAGGTGTAAACATAGGCTGTTAGTGAGACTACCTCGGAAAAAGATCGGGCTGTTATTTACCCTCAACCTAGGAGATCGCATCGATGAGCATAACACTTTGAGGAACAGTTCAACTGGCCTTCAGCTTATAATTTCAAGGATTTTAGTTAGGCTTCAGCGGTTAGATTACTGGAATATCAGCTGGAATCTGGCAGCTTGGTGTTCTTCCATCTGACTAGTCTCGACCTCTGATTGTCTAACTCCGTGAGGATGAACAGAAGTCCTCTTGTAACGAACACAGAAGAGTCACTCTAACTAACAGTGTCTAAAATACTGGGCTCAATATTATTTCAGCGCCTAACCAGAGCTCATCAAGAGTTAACCCGAGAAAAACAGTCTGTTTTGGGACCTGTACGTGGATGTATAGACCGAATATTCACACATCGACAGGTTCCGTAACATAGACACACTTTCTGACGTCCGACAGTATTTGGGTTCCTTGACCTTAAGACGGCATCACCATGAGGTTCTCTGCCAGTGCCTGTCGTTGAATTGTGTGTCAAAGAATAATATTAACCTTGTACAGATTCTCAACTCGAAAACTGGTTGAGTCACAGCTTATGGCAAACTGTCATCCAAGTTAAATACTTCAGGTGGTATTCATCAACGTTGTCCGCCTTGCCCATGTTAATTTGATTTTATCATATACATGCTTCCAGAGATCACACTAACCGTTTGACTATTTGGGAGGTTGATCTATCACGAGATTCACTGACTCAAAATACTCAGATGGTACAGTTCTATTTAGTGGAGGCTCTCAAAAATTACAGCTACTTCTGACCGTCCTAAGCAAGCATCATTGAGATCCGAATCTTTCCCTCCAAATCGAAAATGTTACTTCTCGAACAAACAAATGTGCACAAATATCTGATTCATGTCTAGGTCATAAAATGTACTACATAATAAGCGATTATCTTCTATCAACCGTCTCGCACAGTGACTCATTTTGATAATGAATTATCATCCCTATCTTCGTGGTGATATTCGAAGGCACCAGTTTGGATAGTGATAATTGATGTACTTAAAGTTGATAGATGCTGAAAGTAAACAGTTTTGTGACTACAGCTCAATCAGCCGATCACCAACATCTGTTCATTGATTTGACAGGGCAAAAGCATAACTGATGTTTCCTAACCCATTTGTGTGTTCGAGTCATCTGTAATATTTACAACATCTGCGTGAATAGTTATGTAAAAGAGATCTGAAAGTCTTCAGTATAATTAATTGCTTCTTTCATAAGAGCCTGTATCAATGAGAGCCAACGGAAAGATCGCAATGATAGAACAGTATGAACTTCATTCATTCTCACTTGCGGATTTCCAATCCCATTGAGCAGCGCCCATTTCTCGTGGTACTTTATATAAAATCATATATATCAAGCATACTTAAGCTTATAGTGAATCATATGCTACATGTCATGCTGATTTCAGGTCAGGTCAGTTGAATGCAAGAATATTGTTTGTTACACAAAATAAAATGTCACACTGGGAAACAGTAACAAAAACTACACTGCATAATCATCACATTGTATTAAATCGGAATCAGTGGAATTTGATGATTTAATGATTGTGATACATTTGGTCGTTGGTAGTGGCTATTAGTTGAGACATAGATAGAAACGTTGAACTTTTAGACTATTGAGTGACATATATTACTAGTCATGTGACAAGTTAATACTATTCTTGATTAGCACATTTCAAT